TCGCCGCGAACGTCGGAGTGAGAGCAATAAGTCTAGGGCCATCAATCACTGATAACACTAAACTGATGAGCGGTAAAAGCTTTTAAAGCGTCGCCCATGGCCAATTTTGGGTACGGTAGTTTTCTGCGATTCCGCGGGTGCGCGCAATTTTAAAGCTTGACATGTTTGGTGTCTATTTACCCGACCTGACCCCGCTTTTTATATTTTACCAAAAAACTGGGTAATAATAAATGTTTCCTAACATAATGTAAAAAAAAACCTTTTTTTCCCAAAAATTTTCTGTAATTTTTCCTAATTATAGTAAAATATAAAAACCCCAGTGGTGTTTAAATACCACCAAAAGAAAGCCCTATCTGTCCCCAAAAAATGATATAAAATTAATTTCAGTACAGCGTTGCATGACGGAATAAACATCAGTCAAAGTACCGCAGCGCTGAATACTGAAAAATGGCCTGGCCGGGAAGGGGGTCTAAACACCTGGTCTTGAAGTGGTTAGACTTAGGGCTTTGTTCACACCATGTCCATTGAGCTGTGTTTTTCTGAACACTATCACACAACTAAGAACAATTATTTCAATGTGCCCTTTTCACATCATACATGTGCAGGGGTGTGCAGATAAGGGGCACCTATCATTGTTTTGGTGAATGTAATTTATTTATTTTTAAACTGATGCTCAATATAGTGGAATTACTCTTTAAGTAAAACCTACCATAGGAGAAATATGCCTGCAGCTACTGAAGCAGGGGATCAGCATGAAAATCAGTCAACTAGCATTTTCAGAAGGAAATGTCAGGAATGTTTCTTTCAGAACAGTTTCCCTTTAAGTAGAATCTAAATATGGCAAACGTATACAGTATAAGAAATCAAGTCACTGTATTATGAATTCCACAAACTTTATCGAGACTTAGATTTTTTTTTAAATTTATATTTGGGAAAACTAGATGGGGAACAGACGATGGGAAAAAGAGACTTGATTCAATCCATACACAGGTATATGTAGTCAGGGAAACGTCTTAATTAAAGAGGCAACAGGTGTCCAGCAGTGACAAAATGGCAAATGATTGGCAAACTTTATATTTATTAACTTATAGATTTGCCAATATGTGATTTTACTTGTTCATGACTATGCTGTGTAATCTACATACAGTGTGTTAATGAATTCAATATTCACTGCCTGACCTCCAAGGAAAGCTCTTTTTAGGCTCCATTCAGCGGTTTTCCACGCATACAAAAACGCGCTAAACATAAAAAACTATGCATTCCAGTGTGCATTGTTCACATTAGAACAAAAAGGAGGATACTTGCTGCATTCCTTACCCTATGGATATGCAGACGGGTGCTTGAAATGACTGTGGATGGCGCCGGTACATGTAGATATTTGAAGAACGTCACCAGCACACCAAATCAATGACTGCATCAAGTGTTCATTCATTGACATATGCTGACTCTCGGTTGCAAACGCTTTCGGGGCCAGGTAGGGTCCCCTTCATCAGGCTCAGAAAGCCTGATGAAGGGGACCCTGCCTGGCCCTGAAAGCCCATTGTTCACATTAGGGCAACGTACGCACGTCCTGCAAAAAAGTCAGAGCGTGATTATTTTGACGAATTCTGTGCGTTTGCCGCTATTACTATAGCCACAAATGCGCGTAATCCACACTTATGTTAAAATTTGTGTTTTTTCGAGGCCACACGGTTTTCTGTGCGAGAAACCACACAGAAAACGCAAACACCATATGTGAATGGAGCCCAACTGTTGGCCTCTAGTATTAGGAGTGCTGAGCATTAGTGAGTGTAGCACACAGGATACTGTGTGATGAAAGACTGCATAGCGTGGTTCACCAAAGCCGTAATCTTCTGCAGGATTTGAGTGACCTCTGCTGGAAGAGTTAAGCATGTAAGAATAAAAACTGGTGTGATCTTTTTCTCTTTTTTTGTTGATATTGGTTTGTGGTTGCGGTGTTTTGTAGTGTGCATGTCGGAGTTTATTTATTACAAGTATTTATACAGTGCCGCCAATTTTTACGCAGTGCTTTACATAACATCAGTCCCTGCCCTCAAGGAGCTTGCAATCTAAGGTCCCTATATCATATGCATGCATAAAGGGCCAATCTAGACAGAAGCCAGTTAACCTTTCAGCATATCTTTTGGAGTGTGGGAAGAAACCGGAGGAAGCCCACATAAGCTCAGGGAGAAACATGCTAAATCTTTGCAGATAGTGGCCTGGCCAGGATTTGAACTAGGGACCCTCAGTGCTGCATGGCAGAAGCTCTAACCACTACGCCATCTATATTCAATTGTCATGAAACTCCCACGTAATTAATTATACAAAATAAACTAAAATCCTGTCATATAACTCATCAAGTCAAGCGCAGCTTTACAGTAAACTTGTCACAAACCAGTTTAAATTCAGCAAATTATAAAAAAAAATATAAAGAGATCCCTTGACGTGATAAACCATCGTTGACTGATAGAAAAGCGAGGGAGATGGAAGGGACAGGGCCACGCTCAAATACTGTTGGAATTTAGGTAATATGCTAATATGACAGGGTGTCAGTAGATACGTATTTACAATATGGGACAATTGTCTAGGAAAAGTAGCTGCAATGTTTTGAAAAAAAGAAACAAAAAACAAAACACTAGAAGTGTCCACTGAACAAAGGTCTAATGAGCATGATAAGCATGACATATAGGTGACCTCCTTTTATAACTGACCCAAGTATACTCAATGTTCCTTCTGACATCAACACTGCATGCTTGTTCCAGGGTAGTAGGTCAAAGTATTACAAGACAAGACCATTAGACAGCAATAGGTCAACACCACTTCACAGATGTTTCTCTCGCAAACTGAAGACTCCATTTTCACGAAGGTAAAAATACATCTATAGCAATCGGGGTCTATGAAAAAAGAGTTTGTGAGGATACATTTATACCTATGGCAAGTAAGAATGTTGTGTTAAACAGCCTCGCGTGACAGAGTGCCAGTACAACAGCAAAATTGGGAAACGGGGACAGAGCGTTGTCACCCTGCAACAGGAAGTGCCTGAACAAGGACCTCAATGGCAAGATCACCAGGTATTATTTGAATGTTTATTTTTTAGGTACAAATCTAAAAATTACTTTTCAATTTACATTAAAATGGCAACATTTATATAAGAATGAAGTGATTGGGTTTACATATACTTTTAATACTCAAATCTAGTTCCACTTTTGCAAAAAAGAAAATTTCACTTAAAAACCTTCATTAATAAAAACTTACCAGACCTGATGAGGTCTTGATTGAGGAGACACGCGGAGTGTTTATAACTGCTTACTGTTGGATTTTTATCATTGTATACTCTTGTAAGTATTTTTCATAAAGCTTTTTAAGTGTTTTTATTGGTGTGCACTATGGTGTGTACTTGTTTTTATTTATGATCCCGCATCTTGGGGAGAGCCAGCTGAGCAGATTTAACATCCAAATGGTTGTAGATCGCTGGAGACCAGAGGGATTCAAGCTGTATAGTCGAGCTTGAAATAGGAGCCATCATGGTAAACATCAGCATTATGAGACCTGTTTACAGGGTCATAGCAGAGGATGAGCGTCACTGAAAAGGGTTGACACTAAAAGACACTGACTGAGGTGGATGTGTGATTTTACTGTTTGCAGTTTTTGACACATTGTATTACCATTGTATATATAGTCACATTGTTTTTATTGTAGCTCGGCGCTATATTGTTCTATTGCAAAATAGTGGGCTATGGCCTGCTATATATTGACAGCACAGAGCCATGCTGCAGCCAGGAAAGATCCCGTCAATGTTGTTGGGATCCACCCCATTACCTGACTGACAGCTGGCTCTGCCTCTCTAGAACCAAAGCCAGCTGTGCCTGCCCCTTTTCCGGTCTGTTCTTCCAATGAGCACTGGAGGAATAGAAAGGGAGGGGGGAATCACTGCAGGGAGAAGGCAGTGAACTGAGCGATCAGTGGTTTGTGATCACTCAGTTCACAAGCTATAGAGCCAGTGTGCATGCATCTAACTATGGGGATGAGTGCATTTCACTCTCCCCATAGTTCTCCTTCAACTCTTTTTAATTTACAATTTATAATGATAGAGAGAACACCTATTTTATGTTTGTTATATGTTCCCATTCACATGCATACCTTTTTTTTTAAAAATATATTGCTGCTTACCTTTTTTAAGTGTTTTATACTTGTCTAAAAATCCTACCTAGCTTCCCCCTTGTTTAATGTTAAGGAGGGGGCTGTAGGTAGTTACGTTTACTCCAATTAACCCTGTGTGTACTGTGCTGGGTAATCTCGTTATCAGTTGTAAACTAGATTCAAACACTCTGTCCTCACAAAGAGTTAGTAGCATTGAATGTTAATGAGAGGACGATTAGTCTGTTCCTCTACTTCCACGTTCAAACCGCTCATAGTAGCCTGGAATCTGCACTAAAGCCTTCACAAAACAGCTAAAAGGTAAGAAATACATTGTTAAATTTTTTGGGTATGGTGTGTGAAATGGGAACACACACACACACACACACACACACACACACACACACACGTGTAGAAACACACTAAGCATTTACATACCAAAATGAAATGTGGTACATTACAATGCTGCACATTTATAGCAGCAGTTAAATTATGTTTAAGGGATGTTTTCAAACCAAAAGATGGATTTAGAAGGATAATTTTTATTTTTTTTTACCGATCTTGGATAGATATGCAGCTTCCCTTTCGATGCCCAATCCTTAACCGTTTTCTATGCCGATGCGTTGTCACTTGATTGAAGAAGCTGAGACTTGCATCTTCTTAAACTGTTAAATCTATGTTGTCTTATATGATGCTAATATGTTTTTTATATGATCACCACCCTCCTTTTGGATTTTCTACCATTGACTGTTATGCATACCTTTGTGGTGGTGGTGGTTGTGTATTTTGCTTGTTTGCTATTTAAACTAAATAAAACTTTTAATCATAAAAAAAACCAAGAGAAAATAAAAAGAATACAAACATTCATAAATAATAATAAAAAAAAAGTTTATTTCACTTCATTAGTTAGAAATACTATCTTGATTCCACAAGGACACATTATATAAATGCATTATCAGTCACTGTTTCCCCATACTGTATTGTACAGTGCATTGAAATAGAGAGATATCAAATACATACTTCACAAAACCACCATGATTCGAAGAAAGTGTGCCATTTAGGTGTATGTTATGCCTTTTCACCCCCAAAAAAACCCCAAACCACCCATAAAAATCAGCGAAGTCAAAGCTCAGATTAGTAAGTGTATAGAAAAAGTACATTGTTTTCTGTCCTGTTGTGAGCCAATGCAGAGTGGAAAAGTGATCTTTTTTTAATGTAATAGTTCCCAGTAAGCCCATTATTTGGAGTGTGCAGTGAGGTCTCAACAAAATTAGTAAACCACATACGTTTTATCCTTCATCAATTACCCTTCATACCACACAAAGGATCCTGTGCCAGAAAAATGTAAAAAAGAAAAAAGGGGGAAACTTTGACAGCTCAAAGTGTTAATCAATAAGAGCAAATGCAAAAATGTGGAACAGAAATAGATCCTTCAAACTATTCAGACGTTAATAAATACTTGAAATAAAATAAACTACTGGAACAAACATTAATACTTGTGGCAGATCCAGTAATCCTATAAATGCTACAGATTACAATTGAAAATTGCACTGTATAATAAACTAAATATAATACTGTATATGGAAGCATTTTTGGAGATCTTAAATATTTAAATATTTTGGAGTGATAATACATTTTGCAAAGCACTGTATATATGTTTAGATAAAAAAAAAAAGAGAAACAAAAAAGTTCGGTAGCTGGCAGCCTGATTTAACATTGGAGCAGAAAATGTCATGACTTCAATACTACATACTACACAACTAGTGGAGCCTGAAATAAAGTGCTTTGCAGGAACCACTGCGGTACAGCGCTTACAATAGCCAATCCCTTTACTCCAGAGGCCATTGATATTAGTGTGCAAACTCCCAACTGAGAAAAAAAAGAAACGCTTTCCAAACGCAGAACTATTCTCCGTCTGCTGCTTACGTATTTACATATTTTACTGAGTCAGAAGTGCAAAATGGGACCTTCCAAATGATTGTAAGACAGAGCACAGGAACCGAGTGTCACTGTGCCACTTTGTGGGGGCACCGAAGAGAATCAGCAGCACCGGACTGGAGGTCGAGGTGGTGGCAGTTCTGGAGGAACTTCTGGCTCTGGCTGGAGAGACAGGATGCTGTTGGAGAGCTCATTGCGCATTATATCCAGAGGCATCTGCAGGAGACACAGAAGTAAGTACAATGCTTTGACCTTGTGATCTAAGTATATCAGCTGAGAAAAGATAAGGTAAAATCAAACCCATCAAGGCTGTTCTGGCAGAAAGAACATACTGCTTTCCAGTTACTAATACAAACCGGAAACATCTATAAGTAAACTTATAGATTGGCAACCAGTGGTCAAAGCTCACATTAAAGTGATATTAAAGGAGATCTATGAGGTGAGTGATTTCTACTCATTCTCATAGTTGGAGCCGACCTGTGACAAAGAAGCTGTCGGCTCTACAGATCGGGAAGTGAGCAGAAACATGCACCGTTCCGCTCACTTCCCGATCGTCTGCCTGCAGTAAACGGTGACTGTCAGTCACCGCTCTCCACAGGGATTTCCCCCCCTCCGATCCTCCAGCGCTGAGTGGAGGAACGAACGGAGGAGCGGGCGGGCACAGCTGGCTCTGCCTCTAGATAGGCAGAGCCAGCTGTCGCTCACGCAGCTGGGTGGGTCTCAGCAATGTCGGGCGCTCTCAGTATATAGCGGCAATAGCACGTGATATACTGAGCTTTGGGTCACGGGACGACGCCAGTATATGTCCTCCTGTGACCCTAAAGAAAATTATGGGGAAAAACACTTGCGCCATAGTTCTCTTTTAAAGTCAAAAGGGTTTTAAGCTATTCCAAATGCTGATTAAATCACCTACAATGAATGCTGCTTCTTGATATTTTAAGTTTTAGTTTCCTGCAGAATCAGCTGTTTCCCTGAGCATTGGCTCCTGATATCCTATTTTAGGGTGGCTCATCTCCCTTGAAGGGTCCTATGAAGCCATCCTTGTGTGTAAATCGACAAATGCACAGAATGTCCATGTGCCCATCGCACTCGTGTAGTTAATTTTTTGATCGGTGCCATGGTAACCCACAGATGGCGCAGTATCAAACAAGAAAATATATAGTACACCGACACTCCCAAATTGCTGAAAAACTCAATCTCTTTATTGACGCATGTGCATGATTTCACATAGTAGCGACGTTTCGGGGTCACGCAGGATCCCTTTCATTGGGCAAAACCATGTTCCAGTACCATCTCTATGCAGATGACACTCATATCTATCTTTCTACTCCACAAATCACCCCCTCAGTGTCCTTGCGTGTCACTAATCTACTAACTGACATATCAGTCTGGATGTCTCAACACTTCTTAAAACTCAACCTTTCAAAAACTGAGCTTTTGATATTTCCTCCCGCCCGTGCTTCTTCCCCCAACATTTCCCTTGAGATTCATAACACAACTATCCAGCCCTCCACCCATGCCGAGGTCCTAGGTGTCATCCTTGACTCAGACCTTACCTTTCTTCCCCATATCCAATCACTATCCAAATCCTGCCGCCTTCACCTTTGTAACATCTCCAAAATATGCCCCTTCCTCACCAATAAAACCACAAAACTACTCATCCACTCACTTGTTATCTATCGTCTTGACTATTGCAACTCCCTCCTCATTGGCTTACCTCTACACAGGCTATCCCCCCCCTTCAGTCTATCGTGAATGCAGCTGCTAAACTCATTCACCTAACCAACTGCTCAGTGTCTGCAACCCCCCTCGGCCAATCAAACAATTCATCCCCACACAGCTACCTCCTCATGTATCACTTCCCCCTTCCTTTTAGGCTGGGTTCACACCTAGGCGTATCGAATATGCGCGTTTGCTGCGCATTTCGTGTCGCGCAATTCGAGGTAAAAAAAAACACGCGACAAACGCGCGTTTCCGAGGGCTACCTGGCTGTATCCCAATGGATACGCGCAACAAAAACGCCCCAAAGAAGCTCATGTACTTCTTTGGGCGTAGGGCATTTTGTAGCGCGTTCATACGGCCTGTAATACGCACAGGTGTGAACCATACCCATAGGAAATAATGGGATTTCGGTGTTTGAGCGTTTTGCAGAGCGTAGGAACGTGCTACAAAGCGCCCAGGTGTGAACCGGGCCTTAGATTGTAAGCCTTCACGGGCAAGGCCGTCCTTACCATCTTGTCTTGAATTGTATTGTGATTGTAATGTCTTCCTTATATTGCTAAGCGCAAATTGTTGGCGCTATATAAATCCTGTATAATAATAATGTAAAGTGCATGAACAAACACATAATATAATAATGTTCTACCTTTATTGTATCACATGGTTTTGCCTGATGAAGGGAATCCTGCATGACCCCAAAACGTCGCTACTACTTTTCAGCGATTTGGGAGTGCCAGTGTCCTATACATTTTCTCGACAAACACACAGACATGGCACGGGACAAGACACTCCCGTCCTCCCTTCTATAAGCTAGTAGATGAACAGCTGCTGAAGACTGCCCAGTTCCTTGTGATCTTGAACTAGACAGGAAGTTCAGGGAGGTGGAGCTGAGAGAGTTGGAGCTGCTCAGAAACATGATGACTTAAAGTGCTTGGTCAAAATGTAAAGAAACGATTTTTTAGGGGAATGTATATTTGTTTGATCTGGATTCATCATTGGAAAAAAGTTTGAGAGTTTAATACTACTTTAAGTCATAAAAAAGGTTAATGGTAATTTTTTGTCCATATAATATAATCTACTTTATGGTTATTAGGCCCCCCCACCAAATACTACTAGAGCAGTAGGAAAGCCAGAGAAAAGAAAAACAGTGAAATAACATATAGCATGACAAAAACATTATGCATTGTTTGGATGGGAGACAATCACAAGGATATGGTGACTAACCACAGATTTTAATATCACAATAGATGTATGCTAAGAGAAAATAGTGGCCTGCCACTGCTGATCTCTTGTACTAAAACTTCCTTCTGAAGGGGGTCAGTAATAGCTGTTTACCGGTTTCTCCCAATACAGCTAAATGCAATTGTTCCCTTAGTGGGCAAACCAATGTTTTATCCAATGAAGGGATTATGCCATGCATTTTAATAGTTAAATTAGAAATAAAACAAAGGCTTCGGGTCAGTGTATGTGTTAAAAGGTTGCCGTGCCCAAATTCCCATTTTCTATATCTAACTTGCACTCCAGCTGTTGTGAAACTACAAGTTCCATTATGCATTATTACTCTAACATTCACATGCATGACCTGAGGCAGAAGCAATTGATAGTTTCACTGCAGCTGAAGTGCCGAGGTTGACTGCCACGGTTTTAGTATCATAAACTGATACATTACTAGCAATAAATGAGCAAGAAGTTTCCAACCCAGTCCATTTATACTCAATGATTACAAATATTCCAGTCAGAAACACTACGCAATTGATGCCAACCTGTATCAGGGAAAAAGGTTTCCAAACTTTACTCCTCTACCGCCTTCATCTGCCGCTGGCTCCCTTTAAGAATGCTATGCAAGTACTGACTTTTTTACATGGGGCTCAGCGCACCCCCCACCCCTCCATGTAATAACACATCGGTAGTAAGGACTGCCAGGGGTGTCATTTGTGTCTCATACCAAAAATACCAGTTTTTGAAGAGGCTGTTTTGGGGGTGGCTGCTATTTGACCCCCCCCCCCCAAAAAAAAAAACAAAGGAGAATTTAAAAAGTAATAATTTCTTTTATGCAAAGGGATATCACAAGGTGAGCAAAAAGTAAGAAATTCACCAATAAAATGGGAAACATCTTTTGCCCTCTGCCAGTCAGCTGTTGTACGATTGTGGAATCAGTTCTGTGATTGTTAGAGGACTAAGTGCTGTGTGTTTTTCTGCCATTTATTAGAACAACCCCATTCACTCTGCTGCTTAGTGATTGGGTATGGCAAGTCGGCTGAAGACTTGCCAGCTCACTAGTGAGGTGTTATACAACATTTCTAAAATTAGGAGTCCAGGGTAAAAACAGTTTAAAACAGTGCAGGAACAACAGCTATTAGTTCCAGTGCTGCTTTAAAACAGCCCCCGAGTCAGTGGCTCTTGAGGCCCTCCCAGCACTAGTGTGAGAACTACTGGCTGTCAGTGACAGCCTGGAGCCAGAACTAAGCCCGGAAGCTGAAATAATTAGCTCCTGGGCTTATGAAGCTTCTACACATCACTCTATAGGAGCACTCTGTTGAAGCAAATGAAAACACAATGGTTCCACACTGTGCTAACATTGGGAATGTAGTTAGGTCACTGCACTTCTTGTCAGTAGGGAGGCTCAGGCAGAGCTGTTGCAGCTCTGTCCAGCCTTTCCCTACAGCGGTATATCACTGCCTAATTGCGGCAAACGGTTCACTATTAGAAGTGATCTAAAACATCTCTCCTGAAGTAAACTATGCATGCATTCATTTGGGGCTCTTCTGCTTGGTTACATAAAGGTTCACTAATATGATATAATTTTAAATCAGCAGACCAATAGTTTATATTCTGTGGTAAATATTTGGGGGTGTGCAAATTACAAAAAGGTTGCTTTGGGAAAATTACAGGAAAGTGCATTGTTTTTCCAATTCCTTACTTATTCCCAATAAAATCCAAGAATATATTACAGGATATACATTCAAATTTGGAACCAAAAAAAGCCCCATCTGTCCTGAAAAAAACAATGTATTATTTGTTAGAGTTGAATACAAATGCTAAAAGGTATAATGTGTACAGAGTCAACACATCGATGAAATTTAAATTTTAAATAAATTCAAGGACTTAATAAGATTTAGGGAGAAAAAGACCTGGGGACTCAAGTAGTTATTATGATACAGAGTACTACCCTGAAGTGTGCAACAATGACAAAACCAATAGAATGGATTTATATAACTTTTCCTTGTGTGTTCCATTTAAAAGTAAAGCAACGAAAAGTACCTTTTTTAATATGTCATCAACCAATTTCAAAAAGATTTCATCTACATTAAAGTTGTCCTTCGCACTTGCTTCACAAAACCGCATGCCAGTAATCTGCTGTGTAAACTACAAGATATAAAACAAACAATTGATATAAGTTATATAAAACAGCTGTACAGATCATATATAATATGTAAAGGATAACAATATTACCCATACAATCTGTTCAAGAGCTACATTTTAGTTTAACCACTTCAAGACCAGGTGTTTAGACCCCCTTCCTGGCCAGGCCATTTTTCAGTATTCAGCGCTGCGATACTTTGACTGACGTTTATTCCGTCATGCAACGCTGTACTGAAATTAATTTTATACCATTTTTTGGGGACAGATAGAGCTTTCTTTTGGTGGTATTTAATCACCACTACGGGTTTTATTTTTTATTATAATTAGGAAAAATTATTGAAAATTTTGAAAAAAAAACGTTTTTTTGTAACATTATGTTAGGAAACATTTATTATTACCCAGTTTTTTGGTCAAATATAAAAGATCAGGTCACGTCGGTTAAATAGACACCAAACATGTCAAGCTTTAAAATTGAGCGCACCCGCGACATCGCAGAAAACGACGACAACCAAAATTGGCCATAGGCGACACTT